CATCCCTCCCAGCGGACCCCCAGTCACTCGGCTCACAGGCTTCAGGGAGCCAGTGCTCCAAGAGAAGTGGGTGCAAACACTCTAAGACTTCCGAAGGCTCCGCGCCCCTTCACATTGTGGACAATATGAAAAAGACAGTGCAAAGAGACGATCGACTCGCAAATCACGCCAGCTGCAGAAGCTTGGGAGTGTCTCAGTCAGAGATGCTCTAGGTGGAGGAACACTCAGATTGGCACAGGGCCACGAAGCTCATCAGAAACGATCCTCACAAGAAGGAGGACGTCATTGATAAATCCATGAAGGAGGTGCTGGGGAGCGGGGAGCTGCGCTCCATAGAGGGCGATGCCCCCCAAGCTCGTTTCGAGAGTTGGGTGGGGTCATGAAGGGGGATCTAACTCGGCTGCAGCTACTTCTTCAGAGTCCTGTTTCTCCCCGGCCTCAGTCATTGGCCTGGCCACGGCCTGAGACAGCTTTCTTCGGACTTCAAGTATGCAGGCTAGGGTTTAGGATTTACGTGGCGGCGATTTGGGTTCACCTGCGGAAGCCCCTTGTAGAGAGGATGGAAAAAGACACGCACAGGGCCAGAGCTCCCCGAGGGTTTAGGGTTTTAGCAGGCAGTCTGCTTCGGGCAGTCCGCGAGGGATGACTGGAGGCAGTCTCTGCGTGGGGGGGACGACAGCAACAGCTGATGCGACGATTTCAAACAGGCGGATGGGACAGGGAACTAGGGCCCTGTAGCAGTGGCAATAAGCTAACGTGGCCAGGGGTGAGGGGAGGTATGTTCTTCCAGAGCGGAAGTAATCAATGCCGCCCACTCGGGTCCCTCTACCATAAAGGGGAGAAGCGTGGAGTGTGTTGTATGCTGTATAATTCTGACTTGACGGTGGAATAGGAACCGAACTGACGCTCCCCAGAATAGATATGGATCCGGAGCCATAAGTCTCTGCTTTCTTCTCTTCTTTAAAAAAAAAAAACTTATGAGTAGGAGGAACAGTGGAACACACAGAAAGCTTGCCCAGAGGAAGGCGCGAAGGCTTGCCAGGAGGAGGACACAGAAAGCTCACCCCAAGAGGGACTGACTGAGGATTTCGCAATGGAAAAACTGCAGTGGAGAAGACGCTAGCGGCAGGGTAGATCGCTGTACAGCAGAGAATAGAGCTTCTGAGTCCGAGGGGAACATACAGAAAGCTTCTGCCGAAAAAGGCACAGAAGGCTTGCCAGGAGGAAGACACAGAAAGCTCACCCCAAGAGGGACTGACTGAGGAGTTCGCAATGGAAAAACTGCAGTGGAGAAGACGCTAGGGTAGAGCGCTATACAACAGAGAATAGAGCCTCTGAGTCCGAGGAACAGACAGAAAGCTTCGGCAGAAAAAGGCACAGAACAGAAGGCTTGCCAGGAGGAAGACACATAAAGCTCTCCCCAAGAGGGACTGACTGAGGATTCTACAGTCGATAGTATAGACTTGGGAAATGGCTATAGGAGGCTGCCCCTCTTGATGCTGTTCCTGTGGGGTAGAGGATTGACTATAGAGACTATAAGAGAGGGAAAAAAACACCTCAGCTTCTCTGCAGGAGTAGATTTTAGGACCCCCCCCCAAAAAAAAGAAAAAAAAAAAAGGGGGGGGAACAAAAAGTAATCGGATCGAGCGGCCGAACAGGTGATCTGTTGATCTACAGAATGTAAAACTTTCGCTTTATTAGTAGCTCATGAATGAAGGGTCCAGATTCCCAAGCCATCCAAAAGTATTCAAAATGAAGGGACCAAGACCATGCAAAAGGCGTTCAAAATGAGCGGCAGGACAGCTGACGAACAGAAAAGGCGGGTACCTGTCTAGGGTTACGCCCCCCTAAAAGGAAGGGGGACAGGTGGACTGCAAGGGGTACCGCCTTTTTGCTGACGAACAGAAAAGCAGTAGATTCGGTCTAGGACACTGATAGACTATCGTTGTGATGGGTTGTAGGGGGTAGGGACCTTTCAAGAGGGCCACAATGATGGGGCAGCAATTGATGTTTTGCTGAGCGCCAATTTTTCGAGTTCGAATGGTTGCCTCGTCCCGGCAGAGGATTGGCTTCATGACCTCAGCGGCTTGGCCTTGGGACACTTGGTTCCATTTTTCAGTGTATCACGAATTGGGAGGTCCCTCGGGCCTAAAACTGCACAGTAAAGTTTGTGTCTGAGTTGCATGTCCTGAAAATTCTGTAAATACTAAATTGCACGTAATGGGACGCTTGGCCCATTTCCCAGCAGGCGAAGCTCCGCACCGATAGAGTGGAGTCTCTGACAAGGGAGAGCAGTCCTCCTAGCCCAGAGCCATCCTAGGGGCAGTAGAGTAGGCTGATGACAGCAAGCAGAGGTTTTTTTTTTTTTTTTTTTTTTGGGGGGGGGGGGGGGGGGGGGAAGGGAGAAAAAAAAAAGGGTGGGATCACACTGCTCACCAAAACCTCCGAGAAAGAAAATTAGTTTAAATTACCGAAAAAAAAACGACTGGCCAGCCCCCCGACAACGCTGCCTCTTTTTAATGCGTTTTTTGGTCTGGCTGCTGCTCGGGCCACCCCAGGGGCAGTAGGGTGCTGAGTCTGCTGACAGCAAGCAGAGGTAAATTGGTGGGAAGCCGGGGGGGGGGGGGGGGGGGGGGGGGGGAGAGAGGAGGGAAGAAAAGAAAAGGGAGAAGAAAAAAAGGTAGGAGCTCACTACTCACCAAAACGTCCGAGAAAGAAAATTAGCAAAATGAGGGGCCAGCCAGTGGCAGCCACCCAACGACGCTACCTTTCTTTTTTCAAAAGGTTTTCTTTGTGTGGTTTCTGTTGGGATTTGATCCGTGTCCTTGAAGTTTGAATCCCAAGTCTAATGCTGGGATGTGATCTGTGTCCTTTTACTGTTTGGTTGTCTGACACCAGTGGGTTCAACGTTCAAACCTGTGCCGGGACTCGGACCCTGATAGCTTAGTTGGTTCCAGGAAGAGACCACTACTGTAACAGTCTTCACCCAGATAGAATGCCCCGTCATTATAGCCGTACTTGGTGCAACTTTCAGTCCAGATGCGGCAATAATGACCGGGCGTTTCTGTTCGGGTGAAGACAGTAGTAGGCTGTACGCAGAGGTGTGCCCGGGCTGGATGTCCAGGATTTGCCCGACACTGCTGTGGATGAGTTGGTCAAGCCATTCTGAGCTAGTTCCAAGTCTGACTCAACCCAAAGGGGAAGCATTTTAGTATTTTTGACTATTTTTTGCAAATTTTACTCATCAACAAGTGATAGTGATATGGCAGTACAACCATAGCTGCTGCTTGCTGACGTCGAGATACTTCATCATTTTTTATTTTTTTTTGCTCCCAGTTGTTTTATCTTGGTCTGGGTTGCCAGGCACTCACGCAGACTCAGACATAGCTTCTGATTGCTCTCATCGTCTTCGTCTTTCTTTCTTTCTTTCCTTCCTTCTTCTTCTTCTTCTTCTTCTTCTTCTTCTTCTTCTTTTTAACACAAGTCCTTAATACTCCTTATGGCCCTGGCTCCATTTCCATTTCTAGGGAGCATCCGTCTGGTTCCTTTTTTTTTTATTTTTTTTTATTTTTTTTTTAGCATCGGTCTGGTTCCTATTCCACCGGCAAATCAGAATAAAATGATACATCATGAAACACACTCACACTTCCTTCCGTCTGGCCAATTCGTCTTCGTCTTCATCTTTCTTTTTTTTTTTTTTTTTTTTAATTTGGACCATTTCTCGATTTATGTGTGTCATCCTTGCGCAGGGGCCATGCTAATCTTCTCTGTATCGTTCCAATTTTAACGGATGTCCCGAAGGACTTCATCTTCGTCTTCGTCTTCTTCTTCTTCTTCTTTAATTTTATTCTGTTGATGTGATTACATCTGGAATCGAACTTGGGTCTGTATCTCAAGAGCTGACGAGTTTTCCCAACTGATCTAGGCCTGTGGGTGATTGCTCTCATCTTCTACTTTTCGAAAAACAAAACAACAAAAAAAAAAGAAACGTTTGGAACAAAGGGCCGAGTCTCAACAGATCGCGACGACAAGCTCACCCTACTGCTTACAAAACCCTGTTCCCTGTCTAAGTTGTCTGCAAAGGGTTTGTTTGACTCCCCGAGTGAAAGAAATTGTGATGCAGAGCGCTCTCATCTTCTACTGTTTATGATCAGAAAGAAAGTTTTTGAAATTTGAAATTTGACTTTTGAGTCCTTTATCATGCATCTGTAAGGATGCCTGTGTCAAGTACGACCGAAACGTTTAGTAGGTCTTTTTTCTTTTTTCTTTTTTTTTTCCTGTGTGTAGTGCATTCTCAGGGGGTTCTGAAGCACGGCTCCCGTCTTCCCCCCCCCGAACACAAGGCACGCCTCATCATGCCTGTATCGGACTGGAAACTCCAGTTGTATGCATCCATGTGTTCGAGGGGGGAAGACAGTAGTATTCGATGTGATGATCAAGGCTGTATGAGTGTGTCAAAATTGATTCAGTGAGTCACTGAATTTTCTCTTTTTTTTATTCTAATAGGCAGCGGCCACATTATTCAAGGTGATTAGGCAGTGGTACTATTGGGGGGGAGCTCTTGGGAGTCTTGGCGTCCTTTGTGATTTTGCGCCTCATTGGCTGTGCAATTGTGTCTACCACAGATGCAATCTACTGCCCGCATTGTTGGTTTTACAGGTACAACAGCAACTAAATGCAGTACACAGTACTACACACTCAATCTGACTGGCTCATGAGTAGAAGGGTTGAGATCCTTGATGGTGTTTTATATCAAGCAGATGTGGGTAGGAAGGTGATTATCATAGCGCCATGATACTAAAACTCATGTCATCTTCTTCTTCTTCTTCTTCTTCTTCTTCTTCTTCTTCTTCTTCTTCTTCTTCTTCTTCTTCTTCTTCTTCTTTTTAGTGTTCCATTTTATATTTAATATTTATATAATTTTCTCACACCGGTTGAGCCTCTAGGGAACCTTCCAGGGTGCAGCATTCAACCTCCTCCCCCTCAGAACTCCCACCCACCTTTTCATACAGAGGCCACTCTGGAAGAGATGGGTCAATACTAGACTCGATAGACCCCTCCGATGTTTGTTTTTCACCCTCTCCCTCTCCCTCTCCCTCTTCGAGAGAGCAGGTGACTCCTCCTCCTCCTTGTAAGCAACACTGTCCATTACTATCATCACAATTGTTACCATCCATATCCTTAATATGCTCTGTTGAATAATCCTCATCCTTAGTAGACCATGCTGTGTCATGCAGCACTGATGCCCCACTTTCATCAAGGTTCTGCCAGTCTTCCTCTGTGATGGTTGCAATAGCTGAGCCCTTCAGTTTATCAGCTCCTTCTCCTGCTCTTCCTCCTCCTCCTGCTCTTCCTCCTCCTCCCGCTCCTGCTCCTGCTCCTGCTTCTGCTCCTGCTCCTGCCTCTCGCAACTTTCTGATCATTCTACGCACCCTTTTCGCCTTGTAAAAGCACGCGCCTTTTTCGTCGCTAGCCGTTGTCGACTTGAAAGAGAGATCTGAGTCAAAACACTCTAGATTCTTTCCCCTCGGGCGATGATGGGTAATCGATGGGCTTCCGGGAAAGGCACCTTGCTGACTGCCGGCAGCGATGTTGGGGGGAAGATGCGTGGCAATTTGCGTCCATACCCCTGGTGCAGTCTCTTGAACCTGTGCGATGTTTACAATGTACGGACCTTGGTTCATTTGCAGACCTGGAGGACCACTGATCATCAAATTTTTTTGAAGCTTGACATCGTTCTCATTGTCTGCGTAAGAGAAAGAAGCCTCGTCACCTGAACAAGCCATTCGCGCATCGGATATTGCTGGCACGGCAGCAGCAAGCTTCTTTCTGTTTGCGATGGATCCCGTTGCCACTGGGCGAGTGAGACTTACGGGGAAGACTGGCTCCTTCGTTACATGTCGGCAGGGAATTTGCTGATGTGTCCGCACCAAGCGGGGTTTCGTTTGGATTCTGCTCACGCTGCTAAGTAGATGTTCTGGGAAGTCTCTCCTCTGCAGTCTCACAAGACTGGTTCTCCGTGCTGCTGCGGCCCGACATCTGTCGTGCAGTAAGAGGCCATCCCGACCATCCACAAAATGATGTCGTTGCAGCTTCTGAAACGGGTTGCTGAGGATACGCAATTCTGTCCTCTGACGACGATTTGATTCACGATCTTCATCTCTTGCAGTAGCCGCTGACAGACATTGCCAAGACAGAAGAGAATTGGCAATTGATAAGGGAAGCTGGGCGTAAAACGAAAGATTGAACTCTTGGATATGGGGCTTGTGGCTGTGGGACGTTTGTGGATGAAACTTTTGGAAACGAGCACATGCCTTCACCTGTTTCTTCACTTCTCATGACTAGGTATTTTATGATCTGATACCTTCAGCATATCTCTCCTTCCCCCTCTCCTTCCCTCCTTCCTCCAGCCTGTACAGAGAGTGACAGAGAGAGACAGAGAGAGACTGAAAGAGGGTCAGAGACAGAGGCACAGAGAGAGGGAAAGAGGAGCCAATGACAGAGTGCGAGACACAGAGACACACAAACAGAGAGAGAGAGAGAGAGAGAGAGAGAGAGAGAGAGAGAGAGAGAGAGAGAGAGAGAGAGAGAGAGAGAGAGAGAGAGAGAGAGANAGAGAGAGAGAGAGAGAGAGAGAGAGAGAGAGAGAGAGAGAGAGAGAGAGAGAGAGAGAGACAGACAGACAGACAGACAGACAGACACACAGCGACAGGACAGATGGATGGCCGGACGGACAGACCGACATAGGAACAGGCACATGGACTGGACCTACAGGAGCACTAGTCTGACAAACAGACCGGCAGGTAGACAGGCTGGGCAGCCGGATAGACTGGACGGATGGGTCGGATGGGCCCAGGCAGACGGGCTGGCTGGAAAGGCTAGCTGGCAGCCGGGCAGTTGGGCAGGTGTGCAGGCGGGCGGCGTGGGGGCTGCGGACGGGAAGGCAGGCAGGTAGGTCGACAAGCAAATAGGCAGACAGACAGTCAGGCAGGTACACAGGTGGGCAGGCAGGCAGGCGGACAGACAGACAGACAGAGACACACAGACAGATGGACAGGTAGACAGACAGGACCTTTGGCCTGCAGAGACCTACGTGGGTAAATACCCTCTCATGTTCTTCTTACGGGGCCCGCTTCTTCGTTTAATAGTTATATATATAGACAACCTCATGACCCATTTGGCAAAGCCTACCAGAGTGCATGCTCAAGAGAACCTAGGGCCATGGCCCATGGGCGACGATTTTTGACAGAGGGGTGTGATAGCAGGTCGGAACTGATACCCCTGTGGGGTAGCAAAAGAATCAAGAAGAAAAAGACATTTCGAAACAAACGCAATAGCCTGAAAAAATGCACCAAAAAGATCCAAAATGGCTACAGGACGAGAAAACCGAAACTGGTAATGGAACCTCAACTTGAAGGTGTGGGTAGCAGTGTTCAGGCTCGCAAAATGACAAGGAAGAGGAAGAGGAAGAGAAAATGAAAACCGTGCCAGTCCATCCATACCAGTGGTGAAATCCAGCCCACCCCCAGGGCTGTAGCGTCCTTGAACTCACACTGCACCCACACAACACAACACCACGGAAACGGCAATCAACACACACTTCGCTTGGACAGCACAGGTTAGCATGCTGTCTGAGCGGAGTGTGTGTTGATTGCCGTGTCCATGGTGTGGTGTTGTGTGTTTGCGGTGAGCTCAAGGATGCTACAGCCCTGGGGGTGGGCTGGATATCATGATCTGTATGGATGCAGTCTTTTATAACACCTCCAAGGGTTGTAGTGATTACGAGAGTTCGTTCGCGGTTGAGGGTGCCGGTTCGAGGCCATGCGTGCACGGCGGGGCCTGATGCCCTAAAGCACGTTGGTCAGACATGATTTGACGGGCATGTGCACACAAAGATTGCTCAAGAATAAATGTCGCGAAATTATCATCTTTGAGAATAGAACAGAAAAGAGGAAAGACCTGTGGAAGGGTCATTGACGAAAAGAAGAAGAAGAAGAAGAGGAAGGCAGAAAGAGGTGCAACCAAAGGCATGGTTTCTCTCTTTGTTTGTTTCATTTTCGCTTTAAATTTCTTTTGTTATCTGTCACAAAAACCTTGCAAGTTGCAACCCTTATTATCAAAAGAATGGAATTGTCCTCTATTAGTCTTTGTGGGAGGGGGTGGGGTGCGTAATTGCAAAACACGGCAAGCTTACCAGGACCCCCCTGCTGGCAATTTGGGCAAAGAAGTCAATTTGCATCGGATTCCTTGAAGGGTGCGATAGATAGACCAACCTGATGAAGCTGTGATGCCATCCTCAGCGATCTTATCCGTTCCACCTTCTTCCACTCTTCCCTTATCATTATCATATGGAGGATAGGATTCACGAATGCCAACGAACTCTTCTCTCCCTTTCACAGCCCCTGTCCTCACTTTCTCTTCTCCTTCGAATAACGACTCCGACTCGGCGCCCCTCGCATCATGGGAGGTGACATTGATGTTTCTCTCCTTTCTCTTCTCCTTTTTAAGAGTCGCTACTCTGAGAATCCTCAGCTGCGCTGGTTCTCCTTGGAACCGAAGTCTACCGACATCCATATGATCCTGTTCTGCGAGAGGTTGCCGATCAACTTTCAGCAATGCCATCTTCAACTGCTGTAGAAGTAGCGGTGGCCCTTCTATCCCTTTCCCTGCCTGCCCTACCTTCGCTCCCTTCAAGCAGTCAATCAGGGCAAGTTTTTGCGTCTGTTGAAAACCCTTTGGAACATCTTCGTGTGTAGACTTGCCGTGGGATTCTCTGGTTCTGCTTGCGCATTCGTGCCGGAGATCACCAAAAAGGACACTCCACCCTTCGCATGCCCTTGCCGCTGTGATTCGGCATAACCTGCATCCCTTTCTTCGTCCATCACCCCGGCTGATCAATCTAGGTCCAGCATGCCTCTTGAGGAGCTTGCCGGGTGAACTCTCACTCTCAGAGAGTGACGCTAAGAGTGAATACCTGCAGTCGCTTAGCTGATGGACGGTATGTGCGCCAATCCGATTGCTCTCTTCTGACGTGCAGGTAGTAAAAGGCCAATCGGAACTAGATTCTGAAGTCTGTCTGATGAAATCTGCCCCTTCTCTGAAATGTCCAGCAGGTCTAGAACTGCCTCTCAGCTCGTACCCTTGGTCAAACCTTGCAATATGATTCAGCCTTGCTGCTGGATTCACACAACCAATCTCCGTCGTATCTGACGAGCTTGACGTTCGCATGCCTACCGTGCCTACCGTGCGCCACCCATCACGTGTCGATGATTGAGAATCTCCATTCACAGTGCAGCTCTGCTTGCCTGCCATATCCGATATCCGCCGCTTACCGTTCTTTTTGTCGCTGTCATCTGGACTAATTCTGCCGCTTTTGTCAGCTGCAAAGGCTTCCATATCAGTGAATGACCGACACTTTAGGATATTGAGTATTGCCTTATCCATTACCTTATCCGTTCTTTTTCCTTCTCCCTTTTCAGTTTCAGTGGATTGAACTTGAAAGGGGTAACTGTCGCAGTTTGACCAGTGTGACGTCTGGTCTTCAAGATCGCTCTTCGCGATCCTCGGCCGCATGAATTCATCTCCACGAAGGGAGAATGGGCGTAATAGGCATAGTCGGGGTTCCGTGAACGACGTTTCTGATTCGCTTCTCTGTCCATCAGGTGGAGGGCTGAATGTCTGGGTAGCACAAGGTTCATGCAGGAAGAGCAAACGGGGTTGGTTATGCCTCCCTCTCGCATCGCCTACCTCAATGTCGTGCAGTCCCTTGCAGTCCTGTGCAGGTGCGGCCCCGCGGACATCAACGAGCTTGAGGCTGATCCCAGAGAACTGCCCACTGAATGGCAGGGTCTCCTTTCTCTGATCAAGGCGGAGCAGGGAGGGGCAAGGCGCGACTTTTGACCCTAACATCGTGAAAATAACTGATGCTGCAGTGATAACCAGGGTAACCTGATTCGCCTATCAATCTGCAATGATGCTGGTTCTGCAATGATGCTGGTTGCTGAGAAAAAAAAACAATTGTGGATGTTGAGTCGACTGCTCACAACCTGGAGTTTGCCCAAAAACAAAAAGCAGCAGACCAGAGAGAGAGAGAGAGAGAGAGAGAGAGAGAGAGAGAGAGAGAGAGAGAGAGAGAGAGAGAGAGAGAGAGAGAGAGAGAGAGAGAACGCATGCTGTGATATCTTTGCGGGCGCGTGTTTTTTTTGCCTTTGCGAACTCAAGACCTGCCGCGTCTTGATTGGTTAATAGATCATTCTTCACTGGAACAAAAAGGTGTAGCATTACCTTGGTGTATCTCCTGTGTCCAGGCCTTTCCTAGTAGGAAATTAAGAGGAACAATAGAACATATCTTCTTGCAATGTCCGAACTCTGTTCTGACATGGCGACGGTGGGACTATGTGTGGAATAGGATTACGGGTCTAGAATGACCATGGGATTGGAGAGCAATTTTGTTGGGATACTGGAATCCAGTGTTAATTGAATTATCACTATTTCAGCAAAATTTATTTCAATTAGGCAGAAAAGCAGTTTTATGGGCTTTATGGCATAAAAGATGTGTATTTACAATTGAAATAGCAAGGATGGAAGGAAAAGAAACGACAGAGGTAATCCAACAATTTATTCAGACAGAAATCAGAGATCAATGGGAAAGGTGGAAAAACACACTTTTATAATTAAAACAAAAAACATCCAACCGGGAGCTTCTTTGAGATCACCAGCTTATTTTCCAGACCCTTTTCCTCAGTCTGAGCTTGCTTTGGTAGATATGGACTGGTTTGGGGGAAGGGAAGAAGGTTAAGGAGAGAGAATAAATAGTGGAGAATTTAGTCAAAGGATGCTAGATAGATCACTTTTATTTGGCGGTCAAAATTTTGACTGAAGAGGCATCCTTAGGTGGAAAAGTTGCGGAAGCAATATTGATTGATCAATGACAGATGTAAGGGACGCTGGACCCGTTTTCCAGCAGGTGCAGCTCCCCACCAATAGAATGGAGCCCCCGGAAGGATAGATACTAGGGTATGCTCTTACCATCCCCCCTATCTGTCATAGATGGGGTTAAAAAAAAAAAAAAAAAAAAGACCTGCCGCGTCTGTACTTGTTTTTTTTGTTTTGTTTTGTTTTGGGGGAACCATGCTCCAATCTATTTGTGGGGAGCAACATGTGCTGGGAACCACACCCTGCGTCCCATATGTGATTCTACAAACATGGAGAAGTCACCCTCTGAAATAGCAAGGTGATAGTCCTAGGTGATCAACACTGAGGTAGGATAGTGGGGATAGGGGGCGCTAGGAGAATTGACAAGAGGATGGGTAGGGACTCGGGAGGTGGTCTCAGGTACAGAAAAAAAAAAAGATGGTCAGGACAGTCAATGGCTGTAATGGAAGCTTCGAGGGGGACTGCCTTTTTGCAGTTCATGTCAGGAGAGACAGTAACCCCCCGTATGTCCAGAATCCAGCTCCTGCAACAACCTGGGCAATAGAGGGAAAAAAAAAGAAAAGATGTACCGCGACCATTACCCAGCTTCAGCTGAGAACACTGAAGAACATCAGGAATTGGTTTAGGAAGACATAAACCAACCCCGAACCATTGAGCCAACTACTCATCAAACAGCCTAAGAGGGGCTAATAGGAAATAGGAAGAACCACACACAAGTCTTATTATGGATGAGTAAAGTCAGAGGGGCCAACTTGAATGAGCACAACCACACATCTTATGAGTAACTAAGATCATGTTGCATATTCTGCTCCTGTAGCAGCAGCTGCTGCTGTGTTTTTAATTTATCCTGTTGGACAAGGAAGCTTCTCTGATGGAATGCCTTTGGGTATTTCTGGAACTTTTTTCTGGAGCCTGCAAAAACCAGAATCTAGCTGTCATATGTCACTCGCCGACACTCGGCACCCCAAACCTAGATCTTGGTTTCAGGGTACTCCTTTTTCCCTTTTGGATGGGGAGCTACTTTGGTTCAAGGGACACTGGGCCTGGCTTCAGGTGCCAAAGTACTGGGTAATGGCCCCAGTACTTGTTCTTTCACTGAGTTGATGATGGGGTATTCCTGGCCCCCTTTTGAAAAAAAAAAAAAAAGGCTAATTCTTTGCTCCTTTTGTGGTTCCCTTGATGACATAAATGCATACAGTTCTCCAAAAGAGCAAAAGAAGAAGAAGAAGAAGAAGAAGGAAAAAGGAAACGGTATGGAGTTTGACTACCGTCAGGAGGGACAGGGATGACGCCCCCCTGGGACTTCCCGGACCCCTTTCCTTCGTACCCTTTGGCCATGGTGGAACTGCTGTGGAAATAGAGGAAAGGACTGGGGTAAGAGGGGTGGGGGCTGGATCGGGTTTCCAGCAGGGGGTGGATTCCACCGTGCTCAAGGAACAAGCACAGACCAAGCAGACGGAAGCTCTGGCACAGCCCACTAACAGAGATAGAGGCAGGGTAAAGGGGTCTCGGGTTGCTCCCTGACGTCCTGCCCTCTAGCGGGACTTACTGAGAGGGGACGGTGGACCCGGTTCCAAGCAGAAAGGAACAATTTCGGAGAGGGGATTCTTTTTTTTTTTTTTTAATCAAAATTCCGGCCGCATCATGGTAAGGGCATAGACTCCTACTTGTCTTGCAGGGGGCTCCATTCTATTGGTGGGGAGCTATCACCTGCTGGAAAGCAGGTCCAGTGTCCAATGAGATACATCGTTGAGTTGGTACATCAGCATGAACCAGGCCCAGTGTCCCTCATGAACGTCACTGCTAATGCCACTGATTCTACTGATACTATGATGATGATAATGAGAAAACTGATGATACTAATTATAGTGACCTGTTGATGTCAGGTATAAACTATATCAGCACAATCTGGCCCCACAATCTATGAGTAACTCCTAGCCTCCCCTTCTATAGTACCACACGCAATATTCCAAATACAATGCCATCCCAGCCAATACCCATCAGCACTGACGTGTTCTCATTACCTAGACTATACCCGTCCCCTTACGTTGTCAAGGTATCAAGTGTTGAGCTTGCTGGAAAGCGGGTCCAGCGTCCCTTTGGCTGATGAAAAAAAAAGTTAGCAGAGGGGAAAAAGACATCTTCACCCTGTTGAGGGGCACCAGATATTGCTCTATTATCTAACCTTCTCTAGACCGTACAATGATAAAGGAACAATTGAGTTGTTTGGGGGTGGGAAAGTGTTGGGGAGATCCTGCGCTGGGGGGAGGGGAATAGAAGGATCCACCGTGGTCCAGTCGTTGAAGCATAGCCTATAGTTTCTGTCGGTCTCCTTCCCTTCCTCTCCCCTTTCTCCTTCCCAGACCACACTCCCAATCATTTCCCTCTTTCCCCCCCCTAGCCAATCGCTGCTGAAGCTTTGGATGTATTTGCGACATTCTGATTCTTTTTTTTTTTTTTTTTTTTTTTCTCCCGACATTCTGATTCGGATGAATTGTGTTGGATTTTTTCTTTTAATATTTTCCATTGTGCTGTAATATCTGTCTGTATTTGCTGTTTTATACTATCCGTGAATCCTGGACCATCAAGTCTGACCCCTTTCTCATTCATAGGTGCATCTCCTCCACCATACTGCCCGGAGAACTGCCTTCCTTCCTATGGTGAACATATTTTGTGTGAAATTATCTGACTGCTCTTGCGACCAGACTTCGAGCAGGATTGCTTTCCATGTCCAGGGCCATTGGGCCTTCGTTTCTACCCGGTCCCAGATGCGGGCCCACCATCTCCAGAGCCAGATAGCTCCGGGACAGACCAGGAATATATGTTCTATTGTCTCTGGACACTTTCTGTTGGGAAAGGCCGACTTGCAGATTCTGCACCATGGTTCTGCCACACCTTTTTTATCTAAAGAGGTTCTGTCGATGATCCAATCGTTCGTTGGGAGGCAGCTGTGTTCAATTTGCCATTGCAATTTTGGCTGGTTTAGATCTAGCTGCTCTGAACCACTGTACTTGTCTTAACTCCTTTTTGGTAAGATTCACCTGTTGCATCCACTTTGTCGAGACACTGTCTTTGAGGATGATCATGGATCTAAGCATACGGTAGGTTGATTTTACTGACAGGGTATGGAGAGAGCGACTGAAGTTCCATTTTTGCTTCTTCTGAGTTCCCCATGTCCAGCAGGCAGGATCTAATGGAAGGTCAGAGATCGGGGATGTTGGTCTGAAAGGCAGCCATGATGTGGCATCGTTTTTTAGCACTCTGAATATGAATATCTGGTCTTTATGAGCAAGATATCACTGCGTTGTCTTCCTTAAGAGTGTAGAGGGAGACCAGGGATGTGTTTTCTGTCGATAGGTCCACGACATTCCCTATGATATCAGTCTGGTTCTTTAGGCCCACCCAATCACTTTCCTGAAAGTGTCTTCCCTTCTTTAGGATTCTTACCAAATCTAATGGGATTAGGTCTATAATTTTGTCTGCGCTTTCCTCCACATGTTTTTTTTTTTGTTTTTTTTTTGGGACAATGCTCCAATCTATTCGTGGGGAGCCACACGTGCTGGGAACTGGGCCCAGCGTCCCATTTAAAACATGAAACATATTGAGAACATATACAGAAAGACTCTGAGATACCGGGACTTTTACCCAGTTTGTCTGAGAATAGGATCCTGAGCAACTACTAGCCAAAAATTCAGAAAAAAGACTGAAAAACTCTATGAGAAGTTCCGCATGAAGGAACCTTCTTTTTTTGAAGGCGGAGATCCTAGAAATGCTCCAAAACCCTAGGAATCCTTAACAAACCTTCCTAAGCTCTCCATCACTGTCTTACTCCCTGCCGAGCTCTTCCAGGTCTCACGCCCCACATCTTGCTGGGTTACTGTGGCATACTGCGTAGCCACACGGGCCCTACAGGGCCCGTCCCGGACATTCAGCCTAAAAGCCTAAAACTTAGGGCTTACAGGCCCCGTTCATTTCAGCCTGGATGCTGAAAAACGAGGGCCTGCAGGC